CCATCAAAAAGTCATTTTTGATGCTTATCGTCTCTAAATTGACTAGCCCGGATCTACGGGCGTTACATAATCTAAGGTTGGTTTGTTTCTCAAATATTCGGTTTTTACACATGATCAATTGTATGTTGCCTTAACTAGAGTTCAAAGTAGAAAATGATGAAAATTGTTAAATCTAGATAAGGATGATAGACTTACAAATAAAACTTCTAATCCTGTGTATAAAAAAGTTTTAGAAATTTGTAAATAATTTGTAGAATTTTATTTCTTATAACATCTTTTATTATTATTGTAATAAAACTTTATTGTTAATTTTTATTTATAATTTGTTATATTTTTTAAAATATAGTTATTTCAACAACTTAGTTTTCTAATTTGCCATATACCAATTTTTATTTACTTCACTTGTTGTATGGTTGTTTTATTTTTATAATCAATTTAATATTTCACTATATAATATCATTATTATTTCCATTGATTTACAAATAAAAATTGTTTCATATATATTGAAAAATAATTTTACTTATTTATTTGAATCAACGATTATAAATTTAGATAACTAAGAAAACATAAATTTCTTAATTAATAATTTATTAATAATAGTTGATTCATAATTATAAATTTTTATTATAAAAATTTAATTAATTTTGTAACTATAATTTCTATGGATTATAACCTAGTAATCATTATATTTTAATATTTCAAAAAGAAAAAACATCATAAATGGTCCCTGTGACTTTTCCAGATCTGAAGTTTAGTCATCGTGGTTTAAAAACATCATAGATGGTCCATGTGCTTTCAAAACTTTTGATGATTGGTCCTTATTGCTAACTTCGTTAAGTTTTGTCTGTTAACTGAAGTGCATTTTCGTCATTTCATTACCACAAGGACCATTTATGATGTTTTCTCTTATTTTATAAAAAATGAAATAATATACAAAGGGTCCTCTCTCTCTCTCTCTCTCTCTCTCTCTCTCTCTCTCTCTCCCTCCAGTTTTCTTCTTCGTTTAGCACCACACAAACACCCCCAATACTTGTTATTGTTGTCCCCATATCTTCTTCATTTGACTTCCAAGACTCACCCACCGGAGGTGGGTGGTCCTCTGATCGCCGGAAACGCGAAGATGAGAGAGAGAGGAGGTTGTTGCCTCAATTCCAACCTCCAACAGATCCTTTCCTGTCGAAGCTCAACCCCCAAACACCCCATGTCGTTGCTCTCATTTTCTTCTCCTTCAATTCGATGAAGATGAGGCCCCACGCCCCCACTCGACTTCTGATTTTGTCCAGTTCTTTCTCAAACAAGTGAGGGCCGAAGTCCTCCCTTCCCCTTTGGCGTTAGCCGGAAACGAACAAACAAGAGAAGGGTTGTCAGAAAATCTAACAACTCCTCTTCTTCATCGATTTCAATCATCGGACCACCTCTTTTGACCACTCCATTCGATTTCCATTCCGATCATATGAAGACAATGACCAGGGAAAAGATGAAGGCTCGTCGGGGATCAATTATTCCCTCCTCGCGATCTGTTAAACCCCACCAGACCACTTCATTTGTTGATTTTGTGCGTACTTCTCCCTCCCGATCAGACGGAGATTGAACCCACGAGGGTCACCAGAGGTCGATGCCTGCCCTTTCTCGTGATCTCTCAGCCTCACTGAAGATTCCTGTTTTTTCGTTCTGTTCGCTTGTTTCTTCATCGACCTGATGAAGACGACGATTCCTTTCCCTGTTGTTTGTACCAATTAACTCAAACCCCACCTCCTTATTGTAGCACTTAACCATCGACAACTAGGTTAGAAGTAACCACAAAGTTTCTTCCTTCCTTTCCTATACATCAATTCAAGAACCCAAAATTCAGAACATGTTTAGTATTTTAGGGATTGTGGTGGTGTTCATACGAGAGAGACCCCTTTGTATATTATTTCATTTTTTATAAAATAAAAGAAAACATCATAAATGATCCCTATGGTAGTGAAATGGCGAAAATGCCCTTCAGTTAACAGACAAAACTTAACTGAGTTAGTAATAATGACCAATCGTCAAAAGTTATGAAAGCACAGGGACCATCTATGATGTTTTTAAACCACAGGGACTAAACTTCAGATTTGAGGAAATCACATGGACCATTTATGATGTTTTTTCTTTCAAAAATTATACTTTTGGTAACACCTTAATATTTACACAAAGCAACTCCTATAATACTCGACATTCTACATAGCAAGAATATATTTTCTTATTAAAAACCGGATGTTGCACATGTACAAAATTAACAACCAAAAACTATATATATTTATACGCAGAAATATATTAACGTAACCCTCATAAATTTGTAGTGAAACAAGACACTAAATAAGTATTGCTTTTGATGTGAGTGCCTGAGTGGTCGATTGATCATGTCATGGATCGGTCCCAAAAAAAGACCATACAGAGCCCAAGAATTGAGCCCAACGACATGAATATACACTAGAACCTTCCATCAAAGTTGACAGTTTGCAACAAAAAAGAAAAAAAAAAAAAATCCCAGGCAGGAAATGGCGAACATACTACGACGTGGTTTCGGAGGTGCCCGGTGCCGGTGGGATCATGGATCGGTGGTTGCTGCCGCGTTGGGGAGGAGATCTTGCATGGCTGATGCTTTGGTGGAAGTCAAACCCGGTGAAGTTGGAATCATCTCCGGCATCCCTGACGAACAGCTTCGGCGAAGGGTCTGTTCGTTATCACCTTCTTTTTAATTATTAGAATTGCACTCTATTTATCATACCTTTTTACTCAGAACATGTTTACCTGTAGATGTAGGCATCATATACTTGCTACTCTTTGCTCAATTGAGAGTTATGTGATTGATATAATTATAAATCGAAAATCCGTGAAGATTTATTCAATTTGAGTCCTTACTAGAGCAAAATTACATCAACGTAGAACTATTTGTGATAGATATTTTGTATTTTGCAAAATTTGGAAGGGATTTTTTTGTCGGTTTAGGCATTTGTTTGTCAAATTGGTAATGCACACTGATTTGTATTCCTAATTTTCATCTAACAACCATGTCAAATCCTAATCATTTGTTACGCTCCAAACAGTTAAATCCACAGATTTTTTATGTTAAATTGTGATTTCTATCAAGTATAAAGATCTAATTTTAGTAAAAACCTTCTGTTAATCTTAAGATCTGCTTCAAACTTCCCTAAACTGCTTGAACTTTTTAATTATGCATTTCAGGTCTTGATTTATTCACCTGCGCGAACTGCATCTCAACAAGGCTCTGGCAAAGTCGGAAAGTGGAAAATCAATTTTTTATCGACACAGAAGTATGTATTTAAGAATATGGATATCTCTCCGATTCTAATTCACCTATAATTCATGATATATGACTTTAATTAAATCCTAAACCCTATTTTAGGTGGGAGAATCCATTAATGGGGTGGACATCGACTGGAGATCCGTATGCTAATGTTGGTGAAGCAGGACTCAGTTTTGAAAGTGAGGAGGCAGCCAAGGCATTTGCAGAGAAGCATGGCTGGGAATATGTGGTATATATATTAATATATATGCTCTTACCATTATTCTTTTATTCAAAACAGAAAAAAAGAAAAGTATAATTGGTTGATAAATGTAAAAAATAGCAATTTGCTTTCGTTGATATGTTTATTATAGGATCCTACTTTCATTTCTGTTTTGTTACAGCATTGTACTTTGAAAAATCCATCCAGTTATTGCAATGTCAATTTTAATGTCCAAAGAAATTAGGAAATACAATGTTAAGAAATTAGGAAATACAATGTTATATGGTTGGCTTTTTCTAAATAGTAAGAAAGACATTAAAGGAAAGCAAAATGCTACAATACAAAAATAAATAGAAGTATGTTGTTATATCTTGCATTTAGTGTATGCTACTATTTATTGCTTTTAAATCTTTACTAAATCTGTGAAAATTTGACATTATTAAGTGATGATTCTGTAGATTTGTGAGAGTATTGTAAGAGAAAATGAACATACAATGCTGACATATCTTGTATCGTTTATACAGGTGAAGAAGCATCACACTCCCATAATCAAGGTGATATTGCAAAATCAATTTGTTTTTTAAAATTGTGATTAGTTAAATTGTTATACATAAATTTCTAAAACGATTTTTGCTTTTAGATGTTGGCAAGTTAAAAAAAAGTAACGTGTTTTTTTATGTTTTCAAGAATTTCGACTTCAAAGAAAAGCCAAAAAACCAAAAATAGGTTACTAGCTAGAAATCATTTTTTTTTATTGCATCATGGCTGCTTATTTTTTCTACTGTTTATATCTGAAAATAACCATAGATTGGATGATAGCTGACTTCTATTTCAATCCTCTCTCTCTCTCTCTCACTGCAGGCTAAAGCATATGCAGACAATTTTAAATGGAAAGGACCACCAAAAATGGACCAAAATTAGAACTCCTATATTTCTAGCGAGTACTTTCAGGCTTCGTGAAATAAAAAACTATCGACAAAAATAAAAGCTGTACCCTTTTTGATGTAACAAAAAAGTATTTATCATCATCCTCTAATATAATTATAATATAATATATATATATATATATCTACTTTTTATAATCTAATATAATATACACCCTACATAGATACTGTCCTTTGACTTTGACTATATCAAGTCTCTTTCAGACTCCGAAGCTTTGAGTTTGAACCTCCATGCGAATGCATAGTCCTTTGATTCACATGTTAACCTCTTCGCATCACCAAAAGCATTCACCAAATGCTTCTTCCCATTCACTCCCCATTCGATCCTCGCCCAACACGAAAACCCACCTGAAGAAATTGAAATTGGATTCCGACCATCGGAATCCGGCAAATTAAGCACCACCTCGCCGCAGATGCTCTTGCATGTATCACCGCCGCCGCCGGTCATGATGGACTCGAGCCACGGGCACTCCGGTTGCCCTACCATCTTCTTGTAGGCTGAATTCACTAGCCGGACTTTGTGGTTGGAGTCGGAGACGAAGGCTGGTAACACCTCTGATTCCAACTCTTTCTCGACTTCCTCTGCTTTTTTTAGTCCGGTCGCCGGCGCCGACGGAGAACGAAACCCGGTGTCGTTTTTTATGGTTTTGATACTGACGGTGGAGGAGATGAGTCGGATTGGCCTTGGGGAGATGATATTTGTGGTGGGTTTTTGTAATTGTGCGAGGAGGTCTTTCTCTTCTGGGATTTCCGCCGCCGTGTTGAGGTCGATGACATTTGGTTGCTGCATGTTGCGGTGGTGGTGGGGTGAAGAACAAGGGAGAAGAGGGAGGGTGACGAGGGTGGGGTGGGTGGTCGGAAAATTTAGAATCGGAGCAAACCCTTGAATTGATAGACTTCTGGGGGTGGTCGGTGCAGGAGCAAGCCCTTGGAGGAGAGTCCTAGGTCTTTTGAAAGCAGGCGGCGGCGGTGGCCCAAGCGACGTCCGCCCTCTCTTCCTGGTTCTCGTCGGCCTTGACTGCAAATGAGGCCAGATGTTTCTCAGGTAAGGCGACTGCCGGATGGTCGGAGACATTGCCGTCGGCGATGAGGAGGACCCAGACCCAGAACCTGAACCAGATCCCGATCCCTCCGCCTCACATCCACCAGCACCGCCGCCATTCGGCCTTGGTGCTATTGGCCGGTACCTGGCCATGATTTGGGCGGTTTTAGCAGTGGAGTTGTAAGGATTCAATGTCTGCAACATTTTTTTTTTCCGGTGGGTTTGATTTTGGAGTTTTGAGTTTTGATTTGGTTGGTGAGGATGTGAAGGAATGAATGGGGGGTTTGTTTTTCTTTAAGGGTGAAGGTAGGCCAATAGGATTAAGGCAACATAAATAAAAGGGAAAAGGAGAAGGTGACACTTGGAAATGTAATGTGGGTACGTGTTTTCTAAAACTTACACATGCCTTCATGCTCTCACTCTTACTCTTCTTTCCTTCGGTTACATAAATTACACTCTCATCGCATCCATCCAACCAGATTAAAACACCACAACTTTAATGTTTCTACATTAACTCCGTACATGCATTTTGTCAATACTTTCAAAAAAAGAAATCTAACTTTTTACTAATTTTTTGTTAACATTTGTATATCCATCTTGGATATAATCTAATACGAGTTTTGATTATGAAAAGACAAACACAAGACAAACAAATATCATAAAATAAATACATAATGAAATGTGATTTAGTTTTTATATTTTAACCAAAAATTAAAAAAGAACCAAAATGGAAGACCCAAACAAACATTGTTTATGGTAAAATAAATTAGTTAGTTTATGAAAAGTGATTTATATTTCCACTTTCCATTCCAATTGTCGTCATAATCCTATTGCAAGTTAAAACGAATGAAATTGTACACATGAATGAGAGTATAAACATGTGTCGTATAGTAAATTAATTAGTTTAGAATGAAAATGTATTTTATAGGTGATATCCTTGACTAATTTGTTGATGATTGAAGCAAACATCGAAAATTTGAGAACGAAAGTTGAATGATGGAACAAATTGGTTTTCGTGGGCAATAGAAATTAATTTTTTTTTAGACAAAAATATTGAAGTGAAATGGGTTCACTGATACTCGATAGGATAGAACTAACAAACTGAGAAACTTGTGAAAAGAATTCGGTTAAAATTATATGTTGCTTAGGGCAGCTAGAACAAATATAAGTTGTACACATAAGTAAGAATATGGAGCTCATTTCCTATGTTTTCTCTTCGTATGTTAAATTGTGAAGTTTCATGGTTGCCCGAAGATGTGACCAACACAACAACTAAGAATATGGTTTTGTTTGAAGATGTCCAAACACAATAAAAACATTGATAATAATGCATTGGCTTATTAAATTACACACAAAGTACAATCCAAGTTTTAGAAAACGAAATAATTAAATTATGGACTAATTTATTAATTCCTCGATAATAAGATGATTAATATGTAATTAATCATATAGTTGGATAATTATCATATATTAGTTAATATTTATCATATTATTTGAATTTCAAAAAATTACTAATCAAGGGAACAATATAAATACCCCCCCTTTGCTCCCTTGTTTACACGTAACCAAAAGAATAGATACTTAGAGAAACAAAGAGCAAACTCCATTTCTGGTTTTGACGATTGATATTTTGGTGTGCCTGCATAATGTTTATAGTAAATATTTCTATGGCTATTTTGTTGCAAGTTATTTGATGTACATAGATTTGGTGTGCATGCATAATAGAGGAAATCTATTTTGGGTTCGAGAAGATCATCCTGTAAGCATTGATGTTTATAGTAAATATTTCTATGGCTATTTTGTTGCAAGTTACTTGATGTACATAGATTTGTGATGAAGTATGATGGTTTTTTATTTATATTTTTTGTTGTTATGTTCTGTTTTAAACGATCACCATAATTCAATAGTGGTATTAGAGCCATGTATATATGTTTCTTACGCTCTGGAAATGTTTTTTAGAAATGTAGAATATGGTCTTGTACACATAGCTAAGATCTTGTACACACGTATTAATGTTTCTTACACTAAAGAATTTGTGTATATAAAATATATACACTGATTTCTAGGTTTTAAAAAAAAAATGATTTTGTTCAATGAGTTTGAATTTTGTTTATTTTGTGTTCCAGTATGTTTAGATTCACTTGTATTTTATTTGGATGGTTTTGGCATGAAAATTATAAAATGTGCTTATATATTGGTGTCATTGAAAGTATTTTTTGATGATTGTTTATTTTAACTAAGGTGCTAACAAACTCGTCATGGCTTTATCATGACTCAAATGCTTGTATTTGACACCGAGCTTTAACAAAATACGTCTTAAGTCATATATATATATA